GATGTCTTATTCTCTGGGTTAAAGTGTCTACTTGGTCCTAACTGAACTTAAGGGAGTGGCCATAGGTCCCCTGAGCATCCATAGATTATTCAACTGGTCCATTGGTTTGGTTTGATCCAGAAAGCAGAAGCGATGTTCACCCATTCACAGTTGACTGAAGATGTAGACATGGCTGGAGAGTCTGTGCTAAGAAATTTAGAATGCAGCAAAAAAAATTAATATCTGCAGAAAGTCGGACAAACACCTATTCAATGATTGAATTGTTAATGTCTTTTATATCGCAGAAAAGAATAGTATAGAAAAGAAACGGGTTACAGAAAAGAAAAGTAATTGACGTAAAAATGCATACACTGGATTCTGGACAGAGAGTGTGTTATGATTAACTTGTTGTTAAATCATCTCAGAACAATATACGACTCTTGCAATGGTGGAATAAGATTTCTGTGCGCGGCTTAAAGTTTATAGTAGTGTTCCTCCTTAGCAGTTGTAAGAGTAGTAGTAATATTTGTGGTAGCAGAAACAGCGGTACTTATATCAACAGTACATGTTAGCAGACGCTTTGTTCCAATCTCTGACGTCACTTTCTCTCCTTCTTGAGTCTCCAACTCATCTCTCCACTGTCTCTAGCCCAACTTTTGCCTGGGCTAATTCTCTTCCATCTACCTCTTTTTCAGCATAACTATGCGTTTATATAGAAAAACCCGGCTAGTCATAACCAACCCTTGGCCCTACTACTTTCCACATGATTATCACAAGGTTATGGCTGTTTCAACCAAAATCATGTGAATTCTAAAGGTCTTCCTTGCTTAATCAGCTCTATTCCAAGTTTTAATCAATAAAAATTATTTTGTCCATTTTCATTGTCTCCTGATGACCCAGATTCAATGGGTACAACTTCTGCCCTAGATCAGGTTTCACCATCAGTAAACAAAAATGCTCTGATCTAATTTTGCTGTTCAAATCCACTCCAATTTCACTAAAAAAAATTATACGTGTGTGTGTGTGTCTCTCCCAGACTCTCTCTGTCACACTGTTAGAAAAATGACCTTAACTTTGTAAGCTGATGATGATGAAAGTATCCCAGGATCCTGATGAATATTCTTATATTTTGGTCTGAAGCAAAGGGAAATTTCTCTTATCTTTTTCTTTTTTATTATTACCATTATTATTATTCTATTATAATTGTGCTTGAGTCTTCATTCATTATTTTGTATGACTGTTATGCCTTGGCAATACCTCATAAATAATAGATTATTACATTTTGATTGCATGGAAAGAGAGGAAAATACACTAATTGATTTCATTGAGAAAATAAAACAAAGAAATAAGGGAAGGTAGAAAATCAGGTGAAGCTGATATTAAGACACGATAACAAATTTCTAATAAAAAGGATTACTGTCAAAAAATGGAAAAAAATTATGATTTCAGTTTTGAAAATGACAAAAGAAAAATCAATTAAAGAAGGCAGAAAACAAAGGTGCAACCACCTTTCAGAAAAAATGAAAAAATCCAATTTTACTTGCTCCATGAACATCTCTGGAACATATAGTAACTTTTAAAAAGACCCTTTTAAAGTCACACTGTTTGTGCTTGGGAAAATTTCTTTGAATTCTTTGTTGTCCAACTGCAGAAGAATTTTCACTTGAACTTCAAAATTCTTTAGCTTCTCTGTAGCTGGCTTGTAACCTCTACTGATATGAGCTCTATTTATTCCATAAAATAGGCCTTCATAAAAATAAACATCTCTCAAAAGAATGTGTACTAAAAATAACAACCTGGGGCTTGAGCTTAATATTATTTCGAAACTACCCCAGCCAACAAAGTAAGAATGATTTAACATGCAAAAGGGATACAGTCAAGTGATTGTAGCATTCTGACCTCAAGAGAAGAAAGAACAACAATATGGTGAATGAGATTCAGAAGTGGTCTATTTTATTGGTTAGGTAGAAATCCAAGCATGCATCTGTATGATTTGTCAATAAATTTGGGTAGATCACAAGTAAACTAGAACTTTTCTTAGTAGACAGAATGAAACAATGGACAGTTTGAAAAAAATGTGCATGATTATAATTACATCGTTACTATGTCAGAAGATTAACTTGTTATTTTTAAGTGAAATAAATTTACTCCATTTTGATACCAGTTTCATTATTTTATCTGATTTAAAACATGTTTTATAGCATTGGTTACTATAGAATTTTAAGGTTGTGTTGGTATTTATTGTAAGGGTGTGTGTGTTCACTTATAGATAATTAAACTTTAGAATGCTGGAGGTGAAAATTGTTGCCATAGAGTTCACTCCCTTTGCATGCTGTAAGTGCATTTTGTCACCTCAAGTGGGTTGCTATAGATAAACATTTGTCAACTGTTATTTCTGGAAATAAGTTGACAAGTGTTTATTTATAGCAACCCTCTCGAGGTGACAGAATACACGTATAGCATTGAAAGGGAGAGAATTCTATGGTGACAATTTTTACCTCCGATGTGCTAAAGAGGAACTTGGTTTTTTTTCTTCTTCTTCTTTGTATTCTTCTTCTTCTTCTTTGTATTCTTCATATTCTTATTCTTTTTCGTATTCTTATTCTTTTCCTTCTTCTTATTATTATTACTATTACTACTCTTATTATTATTATTATTATTATTATTATAGTAACTGTAGGGAAATAAAGTTCTCAATGTCTCTTAGTTGTCTGTTTTCTTCTTTTGGTCCAGAAGTAAGGAATGATTATAATGGTCAAGCCCAAGTCAGCATTGTGCTGAGCTGGAATGACCAAAACACTTACTTCACTGGCAAATCTGCAAAACACATCTGAATACTCTGCATTGGAAATTGAAAGAGTTTCTTCTACTGGTGTTTTTTTTTTTTTTTTGGAAGTGTTGTTTTCTTTTGGGTCCAGAAGTAAGTTAGGATAAGTCACGTTAAAGATGACTATATTGGTCGAGCTGAAGTCTGCCTTGCACTAAGTTGGAACAACTAAAGTACATGTTGTACTTCCTTCATCCATCAGTTGACTTAGGAAAGAAAACTTTTCTCAGCAGGAATGTCTTCGTCTGCAATCTGTTACATCTTGGAGCAAGGAGAGAAAGAGAGGAAGCAAATGCTTGTCTTTTTATAGAACTTAATCGGTGCTATGTAACAAGCGTATGGTGAAGCCAAGTAGGGTAATCACATTTCCAGTTCCTTTATTACTAGCATCATGGAAAAATGTATTTTTTTCTTTTATTACTTATCAATCAACTCTCATAAAGTTTTTTAATGCAAGAAATCTTTTTCATTACTGAAATGACTAATGTTAGAAAATATTCCTTTCCACGAATAGTCAGCATATTTCTATACTATTGGAACTATATGTGCTATAAATTTCATTAAAATAATTTTCTTTCTCTTTTCAGAAAACCAATGTGAGAACTAAATGCATTCTTGCATGACTATCTTGTTTCAACTGGAAGTCTTTCTTAAAGAATATGCTGGATAGATCCAGCCTATGGCTACCCACAATCTACCAAGTATGTCAAACCCCAAATGACCAAAACCCTTACTTTCTTCACAGATATCAACAGTATGTTAGACTGAGTCTTACTCTCCCTACTTCCTCTGCTTTACTGTATACACTTAGCCAAATGTTGGCTGTTGCATCATGGGATTTGATATGCACCTATGCACTTCCTGGCTAGTGTGCAGCCTTTTGTTGGGTGCTTGGCACATTACTACTGCCAAGCAGCATGCCCACCTGGCAGCCACTCCAAATTTGGGACAGCCTAAAACTTTGTCTTCAATTTTATCATCTGGAGCCACTGGCTCTTCAAAATTTCTTCTCAGAAGAAACTATGATTTACCAGAAAGTTTTGGTGTGGGTCAAATTAAAAGGAGCAATCTACCATTGCTGGCCTCACCCTTACAAGCAAAAAAGGTGAAGCATATTCGATGGAGATTCCAACATAGAAAAACAAAACCTTTTATTCAAGTGCAACTAAAAAGTATGTGTTCTGATGGATGTACTTGGATTAAAGGACAAAAAGATTCACCTTTATCAAGACATCGACGAGAAGCTCGTAACCATAAAGAAAGCAACACCTCAAACAGCTATTTGTCTAGTTTGGCTGGTACTTTAGAGAAGAATTCTGTATACCATAGTGACAATATTATAACATCAACTCAAAATTCAAGCTTCAAGCCCACACAGAGTAAACCACTCTCACCAGAAACTGAGATGCTCAATGGCCATGGTCCTTCTTCCATTAATCCTAGTTTGTCAAGTTCAAACTTGGTTACAGCTTCCATGACATCATCTCCCTTTTTGTCAGACTTGACCTCATTTACAAAAATCAGCACCCAACCTTCTTCTGTAAATTTTATAGACACCAGTATCTCAGTATATTCATTTGAGTCAACCAAAAATGCATCAAAGATTGTTCCGACAACAATTATTCCAACTCCTTCTGTGATCCCATCTTCAAGTATTAGACCCTCACCAGAACTGCCAAAAGTGGACAAGCAACATAATTCTTTCCATTCTTCTGCTATAACCCCAACATATTTTAATTTTCAAAGTTTTGCAGTGTTGCAACCTAGCATGCCTTCACTGAGTAACACAGAACATCAGTCAGTTAAAACGACCACTGAAAGTACAAAACACACCCCAACACCTTTTGCCACTTCCCTGGCTCATGTGCCTACACCTGCTCTTACTAAACTACCCTTAACAAACTTTTCAACAAACCCCATACATACATCTTCAGTTTTGAGCAATAACTTTACTAAATTGAGTTCAACTTCTCTAAATCATAACAAAACTCAGTCATCATTTAAGGATCAGTTCCATTCTGTTTCAATTTCATCGCCCAGTGTTCTTTCCACACACAATACTTTGCTGTCAGCTAGTACAAATCCAAATGAAAACTTAACACTTGGTGACCAACCAACCCCACAAATCCGTGTTCAAACGGAGTTGGACATTGTGCCAAAATCTTTAGCTTTGTCCCACTCTAAGGCTGCTCACATGCCAAAACCTCTATCAACAATTTCAACACTGTCTTTGAGCAGTGCAACACTATTTTCTCATTCTCCTGAAATTTCTTCAAGTACCTTGCAGATTACAACAGCAACCAGATCAAGAATTACAGCAACTTCCACTTGGTACCAGCCTGAGTCTGCACGCATGGTCTCTCCTCTTTCACCTCTACCTGGCTCTAAGACTACAAATGCCATGAAATCAACAACAAAACCTAAAAACAACACACACAGCTCTGTTACCAGGAAGCCTTCTGTAGATGGTGCCAACTATTCCATACCACAAATAGTTCCAGGACCAGAGTTGGAACCAACATCCCAATCTTCTTCCAACACTAGTGGACCAGATTCTGAATATGCAGGGGATTTACTTGCAGAACCAGTACCAGACTGGGAAGTGGCAAAAAGAGAGTGGAAGGCTGCATGGGAAGTTCATCTTTATCTCTTTGGCATCATGTTTGCAATTCTTGCCATTTACTCTCTTGTGAGTATAGTGCGCCTCTGGCATATCAAGCACCTGCTGAGTAAACAATATTTTATTGTGCTCAATCTTCTCATCTTCGTCTTTTGCCTTCTTCGTACTCTCTTTCTGCTCATTGATGGCTACAACTCAAACCGTACATTTCTGCCTGTGATAGAATACTTCCTGGTCAGCACTGGGTTCCCCTGCCTCACTTCATCTTTCAGTATCCTCTTCTATGCATTGCTGAATGCTACCAAGGTACAAATGCTCCCTGCCCAAATTCAGCGCCTTCCTGTGCTGATTTGCATCATCCTTTTTCATTTCTTACTCTCTTTATCACCAGACATCCTCATTGCCTTCTTCATCAATGTCCGCATCCTCCTCTTCATCTGTCAACTTTTCTTTGTACTCTGGGGTCTCTTTCTCTTCCTTGGATACATTTATTCATTCAGGAGTCTATACAGTGCAGCCAAAAAACGCCAAAAGTCCCTGCTTCAGTTACGGCAAGCCAACAACCAGTGGGAGAATAACTACTCTCCTGCAAAGGAACGTCTAACCCTTAGTCTTGGGATAAAAGTGACACTGCTCTCTGCAATCTTTGGAACTGTATGTGCATGTCTTCAGGCCTATGCTGCATTAGGGGTTTTTGGGGTTTTCTCTAAAGAGACACCTCAGCCTTGGCCATGGTGGGGCTACCAAACTGGTATTCGATTCATTGAATTTCTATTTTGTCTAACAATGATTTATGTTGTAACACAACCATTTAAATACCACAGTAAATATGACTGTGATTTCTGGTTCTACTTTTCCTCTTGTATCCAACTTTGTCAGATAAAGTCAGTATGGAACACCAGCAATGACCCTGGCTGGAATGAACTGGATGATGCCATCACCAACACCCTGATCACAAAGAATGGTGGGCGGAAGGAAATCAAAGCAGCTGGTTATGAAATAATTCCATTGACCATAACTCTTAGCACAGATGCTGACCTCTCCATACAGGACCCTTTGGAGAATGAGTCAATGCTGGTTGTTCAAGATGGGTTTGTGCGTTTCCGAACGAATGAAGAGCTGGAGCAACTACGCCGAAGCCCTAGGATACCCAGGATGGATCTTACCGATTCGAAACCTATTCCTACAAAACCAAAAACTCTCCAGTGGGGAGAGAATAGTAGGCGGGGCCACCAGAATGGAGGTTTTCAATCGGGAGATACCTTACCTGGGCACATGTCTCCGGATTGTGTCTCATCATCAACGTCTCCATCATCTTCTCAATGGAACCGCATTAGCACAACAGGGAGCGACCTCACTTTCCGACCACCTTCCTTAAGTTTAGCTGATAGTATCGACAAAGAACTGGAGCAGTACTTCCGTCGGTCAAGTATCTGCAGTGAAAGGTCTCTTTACAGTGTACACAGCACTTCAATGCCAGGAGGTATTGCAATTGGTAGTAGTGATATATCGGATTCAAATTCTGTTTTCCCCTCAGAGGGGATCCCTTGTAGCAATGGACCAACGGATGGTGACTGTCTCCCTGACTTAGACCCTACTGTCTCCACAAAACAAGGAGTTAGAAAAGGAAATGTGAGAGACAAGCTTGTAAACAATGTACGTTACTTGTCCCTTGATGACTTGGAAAAATATCCGCAAAATTCTTCCTGTGGTATTCGATGGAAAGCTGATAGTGATGTATAATACTATATGTGCGGATGTTGTATATAGATTGTCTGGAGATAACATTAAAGGTAATCAGTGATTGAGATTCAGAAAAAAAAAACATTTGTTAAAAAATGAGATGTACGAAATTTTTGAATTATAAAAAAAAATATCTTTTTAAAAAAAATGTACTGGCAAAAAAGAAGGTTTTTTTTTTTTGTGAAATAGCAAAACTTCATTCATTTTTAAAAATGACAGAAACAATAACTTTTGAAGATTTGCACATTTTTCAGTAAAAAAAAAAAAAATTCAAACTGGAAAAAATTTCTAAACCAATTCAAAAAAATAAATGTCTATTTTTTATCTTTTGGAAAGTATACTGCTGTAGATGTGATGAATTTTTTTTTTCTTTAAATTAATTAATTATACATTAAACGTTCATACATATTTGCACATTTCAGTGCTGTCAATCATGTACAGTAGTGTAGATATTAATAATGCACAAATTTGCTGAACACTTGTAAGAAAAACAAACAGAAAAGTGAGCACAAATCTGTTTACATTCATTTGTAAAGTGTTTGATTTTTCTTCTTTTAATTAAGAAAAAAATAACTTGTTTTGAAGACTCAGACAAAAGAAGATACCCTGTGTTGAAATCATGCATTCAAACATCTTCATATTTACAGCAGTAGTCATGTTACTATAGCTTTACTAAACAGAATATCCCAAACTTCCATATTAAAAAAAAAAAAACGAAACAAAATCAGTGATAATGATTATAAAAGGATGATTCGTTTTTTAAGGATTAGGACTTGAGAGTATTTGAGTGTCTTACATTGTTTTTACTGTTGGTTAAAATCTATAATAAAAAACGAAACCTATTTGAGTCTTCTACAGTAAATATTATGAAGACTAATTTTATACAAAATGAAGTGCATGACCAGACATAAGTAATCAAGACCGAACTTTGAATCCTCTGAGTTGGTTTGTTATAAAGATTCTTTTAAAATTGGTGGGAAATAATAATTTTAATGGAAGAGCTTCCTTATCTTTGCAGGAATACTTTCTATTTTATATATTAAACCTATGACATTTTGTCAGATAAATCTGTAATTATTGTTAGGTGTTAATTATAAAGTGAAGGAAGTATTATATATCTACAAAAGAAATATTTTGGACCAGTTTTCAAAAAAAAATATTGTTTGTTAGTTGAATGAATTATTTTTGTTTTATTATTTTTATTATTTTTTTTATTTTTATTTTTTATTAAGCAAAGGCTTCATGATGAGAATTAATCTCGCAAGCTGTTGTGTATAATATCCTTGGACAAAAACTGCGTTCTGTTTGCAGTTTGTAAAAAGAAAGTACACATCCACACAGTGGTGGTGGGGGGGGTGCTCGGTGTTGAAATCATTGTATATTTCTCACCAAGTAACTGAAGTAGTTAATGTTCAAGCTTAAATAAAATCCACCACTTTGAATGCTGATTCTCAAGGCAAGTAGACTCTTTCTCATTCTCTTAACATAATCTTATGTAAGACTAAAATAAATTTATATTTATATTATATATATATATATATATATATATATATATATAATAATTGGCCACTCATATTTGAGGATACCCATCTACTAGGGTGGCTAGCCAATCCCTATTGCAGACACCTGCTCAACACCCACAGAGCCCATTTGTGGTTTATACTGCAACTATGCTGAGCAGACCTTAGTTACAGTTTCTGGGAGAGAGCATGTTATCTAGCATGATCAATGATTCGAACAATGCCAAAACGCTCAAACATTGGCCACAATGACTTGTGGCTTTTTGCTAGTACAACTATCGATGACCCTCAGAAGTTCTGTCTACCCAATTTCACTCACATGGCTTGGGTCAACCTGTGGCATGGTTTTCAGGCACTTTCATAGTTGGAAAGAGAATGTTCTAACTACTCAGCCATGCACCCATATCTCTCTCTCTATGTGTATATATATATATATATATATATATATAAGCTAAAAGCTTTTAAACCAATTAATTTATATTGTTAATGCTCTGTAAATTTACATTGAGCACTATTTTGTAAAAATAAAAATATCTATAAGAACACAGGATTATATATCTTACTGTTCTTTCTTTTTAATTATATATATGTGTGGGTGTGTGTGGAAAACTCCCTTGTTGTATTCTTGACATATGAGGGTCCAGCAGCTCAGTTCATAGAACTGAAATGCCAGACTCCCTGCATATATGATTTGATTATAGTGGTGAAAATTTGTGCAGAACCAACCACACTTTTTGGAAGAGCTGATTACAGAGAACTGCTGTCACAAGGTCCCCAAACAACTCTCTTTAGGTTTTGAATTCAGAGTTGTCCTTCTATGTTGCTTATAGAGACACAGTGGAGTAATGGATAGCAGTTCAGTTTGAGGAATCAGAAAGTAGAGTTCGAATTCAATTAAGTTCATTACTTACATGATAATACCCTTGGAGAAAGCTATGAATGTATCTCTTCTCTCTCCACCCCAACTATGGGTAAATAGCAAGACAGACTGGGTACCATATATATATATATATATATATATATATATATATATATATATATGTGTGTGTGTGAGTGAGACAAAGTTGAAAAGCTTATAGAAAATGTCTTTTGGCAACATATATTGGTCTCAGCTTCTTCAGGAATGAAAGACAAAATTATGTGTTTTGTGTAAAGAAAATGCATTGGAATTTTTGAGGATAAGAGCGGCAATAAATTAAATTACTTTATTAGATCTGATAACCAGAAAGTGTTTGTTTCTTTTTTATATATATATATATATATATATATATTCACATAAATTTGTCTTTCATTCCAACCTAAAGAATCTGAGACCAACAAATGTCGGCAAAACGCTATGTTTATAAGCTTTTACACTTTTTCTCATCATCTCCACCTGTGTTTCGGGTGCTATTATACATCAAGCACACACACACACACACACACACACACACACACACACATATATATATATATATATATATATATATATATATATACACACAAAAAGAATTAATGGATTTTATTTTTTAGTCCAACATTTTTTTAAACGTTTCTTTTAGTGGGTGCATGTATTTGAGTAGATGATCTTTTTACTTTAAACAGTATTTTATTTTGTCTCCTGGTCTGCACATTCAAGAAAGTGGGCCCTTTGACAGGATTTGAACCTTGCAAGAGAAACTGCAGTTTAATCAGAACTGAACAGTTCTGTCTACCCAATTTCACTCACAAGGCTTGGGTTAACCTGTGGTGTGGTTCTTGGGCACTTTCCAAAGGATTCCACGAGACTGGGATATAATCAAGAGGTCACCTATGTACTAGCACAAAATCACAAGTCATTGTGACTGAGGGTTTGAGCCATGTTTAAAAATTGATTCTGCTAGATTATGCGCTCTCTCCCAAAAACTGTAACTAAGGTTTGCTGCATGTGGATTTTATGCTTACTAAATATTCATTTATTATCAGACTTTAATTACAATAAGTTTATTAAATATACACACACACACATACACAGAGCTTATGGCTATATCATGTTGAAACACCAATTCTCATATGATCACTGAATTTAAGCAACGATGAGCCTGGACAATGACATGTGACCACTTGAGAATACCAGATGCTTTAAGCTTGGATATGCAGGTGGTGTAATGGTTAATGGCTCAGAGTTGGAAATAGGAGAGCCAAGTTCCAATTCCAGTCAGGTTCATTATATTCAATTACACTCAAATACTCTTGGGAAAGGTATGAATCCACCTCTTCGCCTCCAGCTATAGGTTAATTTGTAGGACTTTAAAACACTATCTCCAAAAAATACTTACAATATAAAAATATTTTCTGGCTTTAAATAACTTGCAGAAGGTTGATAAACCATCAAAAAAGTAAATCAAAAACACACACACACACACACACACACTCACATTTGGAGTAGATATTTTGATATTTGATGACACATTACTAATTGCTGTATATTTACTTGTTTGTTTACTTATTGCTGTGTTTTCATGAAAGCTAACACTGAAATACACATGTACGGAGATAAAGGTGAATTTATTTTCAAACATTTTAGAATAATACAATATATGCACAAGTAGATATGATGTATACTAATGGCAGCAGAAAGAAATGAATGAAACTAACAATTTTATTTACATTCTCACACAATTCAATCAATGTAATACTTGTTTGTGTTGATAAGCTACTTGAGAAATGGAAACAAAGAAAATTTTTTAAAATAAATCAACAAGGTAAATTATGAATAAGCTTAACTTTCAATCTTAAATCCTTCTTTTTTTATTTTCCTTTTAAACAAGTTACCTTTCCAAATTTTTGAGTTTTTCATGTCTTTGGACATATTGGATGTGTAACCAAAAGAAAACAAAAAAAGCACATAAATAGTGTGTCAAGATATTTAGCTGACCTACAGTGCCAACATCATTTTTTTCCAATCCTCTCGGGTAAAAATTGCATTGTCATTAAACGTGATATTTTTCAGTTGTTTCACAATCAAAACCCAAACATTTAGCCTTAATTACTTGTCTTTATAAATTAATCAAATTTTCATTTTCCTTTAACAACATTTATGAATGAAATAATATTTACTTTTATCAACCTTTACTCATCAAATATTAAAAATTGAAATAAAGTTTAGAAAGTCTTAACCACCTAGAAATAAAATGAGATGAGACCAATTGTTGAATTACTTCATTGAATTATTGGTGTTTAATTTTAATTCAAACACAGGAACAAAATTGACAATGCAATTTATTGAACAAATGTTATGCATATTATCAATAACAGTACAAAAACACAAAATCTATGCATGTAATAATATTGTTGTAAATCTGAGGAAATTTGTTTTCAAAACAAAATAGCTTTTCTTGTACTTTTTTCTTTTATCAGATGATATAAATGTGGTTTTTATGGTAATTTGATTCAAGCTAAATGCATTGAACTTTACAGAAGATAAAGAAAAATGACAAAAAATAATAGATAAAATTTATT